GCCACAAACTTTTTAAAAAAAATTTTAATGTTTCTTTTTGAGAGAGAGACACCCAGAGCATGAGTGGGGGAGGAGCAGAGAGAGAGGAAGACACAGAATCCGAAGCAGGCTCCAGGCTCTGAGCTGTCAGCACAGAGCCTGACGTGGGGCTTGAACCCAGAAACCATGATATCATGACCTGAGCCGAAGTTGGACGCTTAACCGACGGAGCCACCCAGGTGCCCCTGATTCATGAACTTTTTAAAGCTCTGCTTTTAGGTATGAACACTTAGAATTGCTGTCTTCTTGATATATTTGTCCTTTATCATTGTGAAATGTCCCTATCTCTGAAAATTCTTGTCTTGAAGATGACTTTTTATTCCAGCTGTCTTATGGTTAGTTTGCATGGTGTATCATTTTCTGTCCTTTTCCTTTCAATTTGCCTTTGTATTTAAAGACTCGACTACATACAGCTGGCTCTTTTTTTATTCATCTAATCTGACACTCTCTGCCATTTAATTGGGATGTTGTCTATTTACATTTAGTTATTGATATGGTTGAGTTTCCATTTTGCCTCCCCTCCTCCCTTATTCTATATTGGTCTGTAGTTTCATTGTGGGGGTTCAACTTTTATCAGGTTTGGTATCCATGTGATAGTCACCTCAAAAACCCACATATTTTTTTCTAAAACATGTTTCATGATAATCAAACCTAATGAAGAGGCAGTGAACAAGACTATTAGCTTTTGGATCTGTACTTTGTTGTAGATTAGTTTATAATTTGCCAATGTTTAATTCGTTCAGAAATTGCCTGTTTTAGTTTCCTTTCTCTACTGAAATCAGTTTTGTTCATCTTTTCCCTAGGAAATTATCCATTTCATTTGTATTTTCAAACTTATGTGTGCCAAACAGTATAAAATACGCTTAATATTAAGATTTTTAAATGTTTTGCTTCTCTTGTCTTTTTTTTATCTTTTTTTCTCTCCCTCCACACTTGCACCCAGTTTTTTATGTTGGCTTCTAGGCCCTCCACTGCCTCTCCCAGAATTTACAGATGCCATCAGGGGCTCCCTTTTATAGGTTTCCCCCTTCTGAATTGTGGCCTCTTGATCTCTCACTTTCTTTGTAATTTTTCAATGCCTTAGCACAGGTCTTTTATACCTCATCTAGATTTTCTGTGCCTCACCAAAAGGGTTGAATTACATACTCCATCACTTTACTGAAAACAGAACTTTTACTATTAAAAAAAAAAAAAAAAAAGCTTACCAAAAATTTTGTGTAAAAGATCTCTCTCTCCTCAGTGGATAGTACAAACAATGGGTAAGTCTGTAGTACTGGGTCTGAGTCTCACCAATAGGAACCACTTTATAAAATATGTTTATAGACTGGGGTTGTCTGGATTTGCTTTGGGGTTAATTCCTATTGATCCTTCCCACCACGCTCCACCGCCTCTGAAGGTGAGGTTGAGTAAGCCTGATAGGTTAAGAGAAGAATGCTGCCTGGGTCCCCGGCAACTCTGCTCTTCACCACAGGAGGGCAGTCTGGACTGGACACATCTATAAACCTTCATTCTAGCCGTCAGTGGAGGAGCTCCCTAGATGCGGTTTATTGATGGTGGCAATCGGGTTTCTGTAGTCAAGGAGGTAGAAGATACCCGGAAAAGTAGAAGGCCTGCCCGGCAGTTTGGCTTGATTTTTGGGTAAGACCCTGCCTTTGCCAGGTACTATGGCCATGAGATATGAGTCACAGGACTGAGTAATTTCGACAACACCACCACCTGCGCACACACAACTGTGAAGAATACGGAACATGTTATGATCAGCATGTATGTGGGAGGTTTTTGCCTTAGTATCTATTTTCCTTGAAAAATATTAAGTAAACCATTCAAGTAAAACAAAATGTTTACAGAACAATGAAAATGAAAATCCAAAGGGTTTGTGCCCAAAAAAAAGCAAACCAGTCCTCTGCAGCCTAACTCAACAGGACCCAACAGGCTCACATGGATTCTCACGTTCTCTGAAGCTGTGTGTGTGTGTGTGTGTGTTGGGGGAGGGAGGACTGTAATGATACCCAAGTACAGGCCCCAAGGAAGCTGGGGGTCAGGGAAAGAGATGTGATGCTAGCAGCCAAACTTCAGGAAGCACACGGCCTGGAAAATGGTTCCATATCCACGGATCTCGGCAGCAAGAGTTAAACCATGAGCAGATATAATTTGTTGGTATAAAACGTTACCACTTGTGAGATGCTGCAGAGCTCTCCTCTAGAGTAAAGTACCTTTTATGGTTTTCTCCCAAAGTTCCTAGCAGTGTCTGCTCAGTATGCATATAGGAGATGAATTTATCACTGCTCTCTACTAGAGGAAACTTTGTGAATAGTAGGCGATTAGTACGCCTACTTACACAACAGGTTTTTTTTTTCTTAGTTTATTGTCAAGTTGGTTTCCATATAACACCCAGTGCTCATCCCCACAAGTGCCCTCCTCCATGCCCATCATCCCCCTTCCCCTCTTCCCCCACCCCTATGAGCCCTCAGTTTGTTCTCAGCATTCAAGAGTCTCTCATGGTTTGCCTCCCTCCCTCTCCCCCACTATTCTTCCCCTTCTTTTCACCCATGGTCCTCTGTTAAGTTCCTCCTAATCCTCCTATACATGCAAACATATGTTATTTGTCCTTCTCTGCCTGACTTATTTCACTCAGCATAACACCCTCAAGGTCCATCCATGTTGCTACACATGGCCAGATTTCATTCTTTCTCATTGCCATGTAGTATTCCATTATACAATACAGTTCAAATACTTTAATCCCCCCTCACCTCTAGAGTTTTGTAATCAGCTTTTTCAAACTTCTTCCCTTCTACTGTACACGAATAAATTATAGTTTTGGAAGCTCTACAAAATTTATCTTGACTTTCTTTCCAATGGTGTCTTCATGCTAGATTGTAATACTTGTATACATTGTTTTAAAAATTTGGTTGAGGAGGGGCGCCTGGGTGGCTTAGTCGGTTAAGTGTCCGACTTTCGCTTAGGCCATGATCTCACAGTTCGTGGGTTCGAGCCCCGCGTCGGGCTCTGTGCTGACTGCCAGCTCAGAGCCTGGAGCCTATTTCAGAGTCTGTATCTCCCTCTCTCTCTGACCCTCCCCTGCTCACACTGTCTCTATCTCTCCTAGAAATAAATAAAAAAAAATATAAAAAAAAAATTTGGTTGAGGGGCACCTGGGTGTCTCAGTCAGTTAAGCTTCTGGCTCAGGTCATGATCTCACAGTTTGTGGGTTTGAGTCCCCCATTGGGCTCTGCATTGACAGCTCAGATCCTGCCTCGGATTCTGTCTGTCTGTCTCTCTCGCTTTCTGCCCCTCCCCTGCTCACACTTCCTCTCTCTCAAAATAAATAAACATTTTAAAAAATAAAAATTTGGTCAAATGTTTATATACTTAATCCTGGCTTTAAAAAAATCTGTAATGAATGCCCGTGTGGATTTTTGCAGTATTACTGTGGGTCAGGTCAATATCTACCACAGTATGTGTGTTTTGTAGGGTGACAAATTAAAAACTCAGTAACAGTGCACTCTCTATTTAATAATTACAGTAAAAACGTTTTTATTCACAAAGAAGTTTTTAATCATAAGCAAAGTCATTAACAATGAATCCAAACAATATAGTCAAAATATATTTTACTTCAACTTAAGGCACCACATAAAGATTTCTTTAAAGCATACTCATGTCATTTTATTTACACACTATTTTAAGAAGTGACTGTGAAATACACACTTCCCATCTCATCTTTGTCCTTCATTTGTAACTTTATGTATTCACAATGAAGTAAAACCTCCAAATAAAAGGAATTAAGTGCCATCATCCTTAAATCTTACCAGATATGGGCAAGAGGGGGAAACACCCAACAACAAGGCAAAGGCATTTTTAATTCTTTAATATTCCGATAATTTATCTTTCAGTTCTTATATCAAGCTTGATGAAACAATAGCACAGAGCCTACAGTACAGAGCACTGAAATCATTTCTATTAGAATTCTGTTCATGTTTACCGGAAGAACCTGCACCTTAGTAACAGCAGCAGAACCGCCCTCGTAAGTACTGACTCTGGGAGGCAGCTACGCTCATCTCTCTACTAGCAACGCGTAAATGTCCTTACTCCGAATTCGCTCACGGAATTAACAAAAACCACGTCATAAACAGTATTCCTATTACCTTTGAGGATTGTTGTCCTTAACAGTTAAATGTTTCCTGGAGCCAAATGCTTTCTATCACCCAGAAACCACGTCAGGATATGAGTCCGTGATTTAACAAAATACACACCAGAACCTTAGTGTAAAAGGCTAGCTCTGCTAAAAGAATTTCTCAATGCACGAGAGGAGTCATTGGCTTGAACAATGAGAATTTTTTTTTTTAATATTTTTATTTATTTCTAGGAGAGAGAGAGACAGCGTGAGCAGCGGAGGGTCAGAGAGAGAGGGAGTCACAGACTGAAGCAGGCTCCAGGCTCTGAGCTGGCAGTCAGCACAGAGCCCGATGCGGGGCTCGAACCCACCAACCGCGAGATCATGACCTAAGCGAAAGTCGGACGCTTAACCGACTAAGCCACCCAGGCGCCCCGAACAATGAGAATTTTTTAAAGATACAAATGAATTAACACAAAGTTCAATGTAATATATAAACATCTCTTTGATTAAATACTGTTTTGTCCCATCAGCATATGTACATTAAAAATTTTACAATGTTGATTAATATTTTGAGAATGGAATGAAAGACAAGACAGATAATGTAAATGTCTTATTCAAGAGGTTAGGACACTGACGGGACATTCCTGCCTCTTCCATCCTATATGAAATCCACTCACAGGCTGGATGCTGGGTATAGATTTCCGAAACTCATAACCACCAGTCAAATGAAGGCAATCACTAAAACTCATGGCATTGCAGGGACCAAGCTCTACTGAGCTCGTATATAATATTTTACTATTTTAGATACTTCAAAACGTGTCCACTGTTTTAAATGTGACTGTTCTCATCTGTTTTGTTTTTTTTCTTTTAATGGAAATTGAAATAGAAATTTTTATTTTGTTCAGAAAAAATACTATTACCTTTTAGGATAACTTTTATGTGAGGAAAAAAATCAAAAAAAATCTGCCAGAAAGCAAAATTAGTCCTATTGGTTTTATTTCATGTATTTATGATGCTGTTTTTAATACAGTCAACTTCGGACCTATAGCATGGACTATTTGTGCAGGCTACAAATGCTTCTCAGGCACCTCCCCAAACAATAGGTGTCAAATGCTAGGATCACAAAATTAGCAGTGACCAAACTGGGTGAATTACATGTTTGATGACTGGCAGCACTGTTCTTTACCATCCTAAAAGATCAACACTTAACTGGGCTGCATATTTACTGTGGATAATTTATTTTTATCTGAAAGGCAGTGATCTAGTTTCTTTCATATTGTCAGAACTTTGAAGATCACACTGCTAATGGCTTGCCTCGGGTCCCAATGGATGGTTCTCAAATCCAGTTTTTCCTGTAACAGATACAATCTAGTTTACCACAACTCACTTTCTGCATATTAATTCTTATTAGAAAGTACCACCTGGCAAGGTAGGACAGCCGTTCTTCACAGCAGATGCTTGGCTCTGAACAGGTATGTTTGCAAAATTAGGAGCAGAGTGATTATTTCTACGAACCAAACACTGAAGAAAATCAGAGGCAGCACTCAGGCTACAGAAGGTTAACAGAGCTTAAGAGTTTCTTCTGCCACTTTTAACATCTGAATAGTGGAAAAGATCAAAAGATACCAAATTCCGTGAGGCATAATGTCCCAAAGGTAGATATCAAAATCTCTCTTTCTCATTCTGACCCAACTGAAACCAGATTTGTATTCAGATCACAAATTTTGCTGCAAGACTTGGATACCTCTGGTTAAGATAACATGAGAAAGTAAAAAATGGCAACAAAAACTGATGAGCTTTTTTCAGTTAGGATTTTAGCTTGTGAGTCAGAAGAAAGTAAACAAATAGGAAGTGCAAATATACCCTTCTCCTGAGAGCCATGTTCTGGGGAAGTGAGCCTACCTCTGACACTTTCTCTAAGTCCCAGGGAGTCTGCATACTCATCACACAAACACACTTGCACAGAGACACATACACGCACACAAATGAATAGCTTACATAAAGGCATTAAGCACAAATAGAGGAAAGCAATTCTATTTTCTTAATTTCTTATTAGCAACAATCTTCAAAAGATATCTTTTGAGGCTCCAACAGTTTACAGGTCTTAACAAAGACACAATGGTGAAGACTTGGGTTTTGTATCACATGGTCTTTGTTTTGTGTTCTAGAGTAGCTTTTCTTAAAAAGCGTTTCTTCATATGCTAGATCTGTCCTGCCTGCTTAACCAGTTTTGTTAACCATCACAGAGGTTTTCCTATGTCACAGGTTTACATAGGATACAAATTCTATTAAAGTTAATAAATATAAAAATATAGAAAACTTTTCCTTCCTGATACATAAAATCCACTAATTGCAAAAAGATTTCTGTTGTTTCAGTTACAAGTATAAAAATTTATTAGAAAAGCATGCCTACTAAATTTGGGTATGTTTTTGTTCAAAACTATGTCAAATCTTCATTGCAAAAAAAAAAAAAAGGCAGAGGCAATATTTTTCTTAAAAAAAGGTTTCTAGTTAGAGAAAGAGGTGGTGTTGACTAACCATTTACTAGCAACTTTTACTATGGTCAGGGTTTTTTGTATTATCTGATGCACCAAAACAAAACACAAGGAAAAACAGAATAACTCTAGCATGCTTGGTCTAAGTTCTCTGTCTTTCAGAGGAGATTTTTCATAGTTATAACACCATCCCTTGAATGTATCCTTGGTTTCGTGACTAATCAAAGATACTCTGTAGAAACTCCAGCACATGCTACTCAATTAGGGGGTCATCATCATCTTCTTGCAGCTGAAGTCGGGAAAATGGACGGGGTACAGACAGTCTATTCTGCATGAATATTATGAGGCACGTTAGCGTGGTTAAGACTAAGAGCGCCCCGATAACAATTCCAATGGCTTCCGGGAGATTAATGCACCACTGGTCAACTAACAAACACTTAGTATGACTGAAAGTTCCATTGTTGGGACGTGGGTTTAATCCCAGGATGTGGCACATCATTGGATAAATATCCACACTGTTAATTGTGTTGTGTTTGTAGCCTTTGTGAAATGCAGGACCGTGGGCAGCTAGAAACGGATGCATACTGGACAAAGAATTATCATAACCATGGTCACCTACTGAAAAAAGAACAAAAATTATGTTAGCACTTAACAGAAAGAATGATCTTTCTATTACAAAATAACTTGCTTCTAATGTAAATATACTGATTCTTGCCAGTGTAATTCCCATCCTTTGAAATTCTGAATAATGGGACCCGATGGGGGCTAGAAATAAAATTTTCTATTTTTTTCAACTCAGCCATGTCCCCTCATTTCATACATACACCCCTTTTTCCAACTGGTCATGACCTGAGACTTTAAAACTGTTTCTTGACCTGAGGTATCTGTCTTTCAGTTCTGGCCCCACTTATTTCAACTGTCAATTTCCAGCACTGTTTGCATGCAAAGAGCATTAGTGATTATAAAAGAAAAAGAGTGGGTGGGCTGAGGGTCCAAATAACCGGAGAGAGCAAAAGTGAGTACATCCAGGAAATGGGGAAGAAATGAATCGGCAGCCTTACCTATGTCAGTTCTTCCTGTGCTAAGAAACAGGATTATATAATATACACCTGACTTACTGACAGCTAATGAACACTTTAACATCTGCATGGCCACGTAATTGAGAATATTACAGAAGGGATTCTTGTACTGACTGTGAAGTCTAACCAGATCACCAACCTGTAACTCCAAATCTAACATGATATGACAGTCCCTAATATGACCCCAATACTGGAATCTCAGTTTTGGGCTTTATTTTGGCAAATATTCCCTTTTAACATACTAAGCTCCTGCTTTCATATGAAGTGCAAATGACCAAGTGGAAGGTGTATCAGTTTTTGTTACATTACCCTTTAATTTTATGTTTGAAATATTTCATAATAAGAATAATGCATGTGATCAATATAATAAAAACAATAAAACTCTATATATAGATATTACGATTTCAAGAGTATAAAAATGTACATGTATATGCAATAGCAAAAAGGTATAGAAGGGGGAAATTCCCACAATTAACATCTGCCCATACCTTTGTATGGAGGGATAATGGATATTTTTTTCCCCTCTTTTCTAAACTTTTCTGTATTTTCTCAGTTTTCAATAGTGAGTATATAAGTATAAAGAACATATAAATTCCAATAACCATTAGTCTTATCCTTGTCTGAAGCTTCTGATGTGCTATAGATCAGGGGTCTGCACGTGACAGCCCCTGGCCAAATTTAGTCTTCTGTTTTTGTGAACAAAATTTCACTGCATTGAATGCTGAGAAACTGACGACTGATGGATGTGGGGAGGAGAGGGGAGATGGGCATGGAGGAGGGCACTTGTGGGGATGAGCACTGGGTGTTATGTGGAAACCAATTTGATAATAAACTATTTGTAAAAAAAAATTTCACTGCAAACCCTCCCCCCCCACCCCATGTCAGTTTATGTAATATCTACAGCTACTTTCCTGTTAACAAAGGCAGAACTGAGTAGCTGACATGGAGGCCAGTTGGCCTATACAACCAAATATTTACTCTCTGGTCTTTTACAGAAGTTTTCTGACTCCTGCTACAGACTATGAAACCAATTTTTTTAAAAAGCATTGAAATTGAACTTAACATATGGATAAATAAGCTTTGGTTCAGGAGAGACCTGTAACTATTCCCCTATTATTTCCTTAGCTTTAGGAGAGATTTTGACACACCTGTTTTGGGTACTTGGTAGGTTTTTGCTTGTTTACCTTCTGGATCTTTCCCAGCGTGCCAAAGAGCAATAGCACTCAAGGAAGTGATTTCATCATTGGGGAAAGACTTCAGGTTACTGGGACGATGTTTATTAATGCACTCAAAAAATAAAAAGGCATCTGAACGGTCGAATCTCCCCCCTTTTACCACTTCTTTACTTCTCTCCCATTTTATACAAATCAAGAAAGCCAACCTGGAATGTCGCTGAAAGTAACCGCAGCGTGGGTAAGAGAGTATGCCTACACCTTTGCCCTTAAGGTCACCCACCTCTTCTCTAAAGGTGAAATATGGTTTTAAATTGCTGTTGGATGAAAACCTATGAATTATCCAGTCAAAAAGTGAACTGATTACACAGTGTTGACATCTCTAAATCAAAGCACCCTGTTAACAGAAGTATGTCCCAATGAGTGATCTATTCCCAAGATACAACAGAAATATCCTAAATACTTACATTTCAGTAATGATTTATTTAACACAATTGTCCAGCCTTCATCAGCAACCAAAATAATAGGCTGAATTCGATTATTATGTTGGTAATGAAATCTGGCAGGAATGTCTTCTTTGAGGTAAACATTCATGTGAGGGTTGCAGGCTTTCAGTTTGTTATAAACCTCTGTTGTATCTGGAAGAAAAAGGAAGCAGTAAAGGAAAACAAATCACAATTGACTGCTAAGGAAAGAAAAGATTTCAAACTAAAATAACTAGAAATAAATTCTGAACAATGCCATCTATTAAATCACTTTTAATTCTTAAAAAATCAGAGCAATAACAATTATGTGACATTGTTGGGGACACACACACACACACACCTCTGTGTTTCCAAGCATTCACATATCTCTTTTTTCATTTTGTGACTCTCTCTGGTAGACTTGTATACAAGAGGGGACAATATTCATATATAGCTTCCTAAGAAAACATAAACTAATTACATATTATTACTAATTCTAAGATCAGTGGATAAACAGTGTATCTCATACAAACATCCAAGACGTTTTTTAAGGACATAAATGTCTTTTTCCATTAGCGTGAATAATTAAGAAATAAATCAAAAAGCAGAGAAATAATCTCTTTGAATGTGAACCCTAAGCTAACTGCTTAAAGACTTGTACATTAAGGGGACAAACACAGAATCTCACCCTGAGCAAGTTTAAGAATTATGATACTACACTACAAAAAGCCAGAGCTTCATTCTTTCACACACCCTCCTAGTTCAATTGCCCCCTTCCCAAATATCCCTCAGCTGAAAGTTTACTTACTTATTTTAGGAAGGATAGCAGCAACTGGAGTCAAATCTACAAGAGCGTAGCTTGAATTATCAATGCAGAGGTCCAAGTTTATCAGTCTCTCCTTAGAGCACTGGGTCATCCCATGATCACTTGTAATAATCACATTAAGACTTTCCCACAATCCTAGCACCTTGAGTTTGTGGACAAGCTCACCAATAAGGTCATCTATGTCTTTCAACACTCTGTACATGTTTTCTTTATCTTCGGGCCCATATTTGTGGCCACTTGCATCTGGTTCTTCCCAGTAGAGTGTTGCAAAGGTGACTGGTGGATTCGAATTGATGAGCCAAGTGGTAATATTATTTAGTCTCTCCTCAAATGACACTGAAGAGCTGTAATTCATAAAATAGGAGGGTGTGGTATTGTGAATGGGCACATCAGTACCAGGCCACATAGCAGCAGCACTTGATCTGTTTTCCTGAAGCTGATTGGTCACCCAAATAGGTACTGCCTCGTTCCACCAAAAAGGATCCTTGTCATCAAAGTCAGAAAAGTGTTTCTTTGTGATTACATCATACATGGAATTAGCCACAATGCCATGGCTTTCTTCATACAAGCCTGTCACAATACTGTAGTGGTTTGGAAATGTTTTTGTGATAAAAACATTCTTAACATGTTCCACCAGGACTCCTTCTTTGATAAAATTCTGGAGATGAGGAAATTCATAGTTCTGTAGATAGTCAGCTCTGAAACCATCAAAGGATACCAGTAGTAACCTGGGTGGCAAACTATGGGAAGAGTTACTGCTACAAACAGTTATAAGTCCAGAAAATAAAAGTATTACTAATAACTTCATAATGAATGTGTTGAAGGAGAGCAATCAGGGTTCCTAAAATATAAAAACACAGTTCATAAGTGGAAGTGCTGTTTTGATTTGGATTATGTTTCAGCAGTTTAGCCATCAGGAGAAGAGAATCAACATTTATAAACTGTTTACATACCAGTTTTATACCTACTTAAAATTAAATAACACCACTTACTCAAGGATAATTGAATAAAGCTAAAACTGGGGGAGGGGGATGGGCGGGGAACTGGCTTTACTTGTCCATTTTCCTATTTATGTATGTCCCGCTCCAGCCCTCATGCTCTGAAAGGGATATGGACCGCTCTTACATCCCACACAGATACTCGGGTTTGGTGGCCTCGCTTGTCTGTAGTAGCAGAAATTATCTTAAAGACTTAATAAGAACAGGGGTGCCTGGTTGGCTCACTCGGTGAACATGCAACTCTTGATCTCGGGGTATAAGTTCAAGTCCCATGTGGGGTATAGAGATTACTTTAAAAAGACTTAATAAAAAAGAACAGACGAAGAAAGAAAAATGATCCTTTTGCACAAAACAGAAATAATACCAAGCCTTCGGGGGCTCCAGAGAAGGAGATTATTTTTCCAGTTTAATGATGGGTACTCTATGTTCCTTTTATTTTTTTAATGTTTATTTATTTACTTTGAGAGAGAGAGAGAGCACACATGTGTGAACGCAGGAAAGGGGCAGAAAGAGAGAGGGAGAGAGAATCCCAAGCAGGCTCCATGCTATCAGCACAGAACCTGAAGTGGGGCTTGATGTCAAGACCCTGAGATCATTACCCGAGCCAATATCGAGAGTCAGACGCTCAACTGACTGAGCCACCCAGGCATCCACCCCCCAAGTTCCTTTTAACCCACAGAAATAGGTGGTGGAAATGCTACCATACTGGCTCAGCACCAGTTTCTTTTGAAAATACCAGCAGGAAAAGAAGGATAAGAAGTAAATATTACTTGAGAAAAAGATCCATTCCTAGTATTTACATGAGGCTGACAGACAGACGATGCCTATAGGGACTTGGATGCCACGCTAACTTCTGAAGAAATCCAACAGCTGCTGAAATAACTTTCATCACCATAGCCCTTAAACTTCCTTTTTGCTATCAAGAACATAATTATTCTCCCTAGTACCCCAGGCTCAGAGCTCTCCTGATTTTTCATTATTTTTTTTCCAACAATCCACTGATTATAAAAACAGCTTTCCCATAATAAATCTCCCTGTCTTCAGTCTCTATCATCTTTGATCCTTAAGAAAACAGGGTAGGGGCGCCTGGGTGACTCAGTCGGTTAAGCATCCGACTTTGGCTCAGGTCATGATCTCACAGTTCGTGGGTTTGAGCCCCGCATTCGGCTCTGTGCTGACAGCTCAGGGCCGGTAGCCTGTTTCAGATTCTGTGTCTCCCTCTATCTGACCCTTCCCTGCTCACGCTCTCTCTCTCTCTCTCTCTCTCAGAAATAAATAAAACATTTTAAAAATAAATTAAAAAAGAAGACAGGGTAGGTGAATCAAGTAGGATGGTTCACTTTAGATGGAGGGGATATCTTTTTCATTGTAACAGGAGAGAGAGGGATCAAAGGCTATTAAGTTAGCTAACGGGTGTGAGGGCTGGGGTTGAAGGGAGCTACATTCTCTGTGTTCCAAGAGGCAGGGGCGATTCCTGAGAGGGAGCAGTTTGGTGAAAGGTTCGAAGGTTTGGGAGACCCAGAGAAAGTCTCAAATGGCCAATGTGGAGAAGGGGAGAGAGTTCAGGGAAACAGTAAGGACTGGTGGTCAGTTGACCGTGGGTGTCATGAGCTGTTAGAGACACTGTTGGTCGGTTTTCTCCAGCCCTTCGGCGGCCCTGCCACAGGCCTGAGCAAACAGGCAGCTGGTCCTGCCTGCGCGGTGAGATTCTGCCAGAAACTGAAGTGTAATGAAGGCCGCTGACTATCCTAAGGAGTGGCTAAAGTCTGACCTGCGGCACTTGAGGTGAAGCTGATATACACGTATGAGGTGGAGAGGCTCCTGGACTAGAGGTTCTTTTTTTTTTTTAGTTTATTTATCTTGAGAGAGAGAGAGAGCATGTGCACATGAGTAGGAGAGGAGCAGAGAGAGGCGGGGACAGAGGATCGGAAGCAGGCTCTGTTGTGTAACAGAGAGCCCTATTCCAGGCTCGAACCTACCAACTGGGAGATCATGACCTGAGCTGAAGTTGGTACTTAACCGACTAGCCCCCCAGGTGCCCCTGGACTGGAAGTTTTGATGGCAGCTGCAAGGCTGTGAGGCTGTGGTCAGAGTGAGGTGAGCAAATTCATTATTTCAGAGTAAGAAGACCCAAGGGATGGCCGCGGGGATATGAAGCTAGAGGTCCCAGGCATAAGCAGCAGTGAGCTCACATGATGATTAAGTTCATGCATGAGCCATCGGTTGTGTGTTGTTCTTTCTCCCAAATAAACCGCGATTACTTGAAGACAGAGACTTTCTTTCCTTCAAACACACCGGGTAGATGATCTTTTTACATGCAGTCATTCAAACGTTTGTTGACTGAAGCTGTCACCCTCTCGGAACCAGGGACTTAACGACTGCAAAGACCAAAAAGGCACAGAATCTCATTAATGAGGCTCTCTGGGTCTGAAACACCTACCACTTTAACTGGAGTGGGGCTGCCTTCTGGGTGCTGGTGCACACACCATCTGTCGCCGATGCCGTCCACGAGACCAAAAGCAGTACACCATGACAAAATCAAGCCACTGCTCCGAAGACCAGAGTTAAGAGACACTCTGCACAGACACAGCCCTGGCCGCAGCTCAGCAGTACCAACTCTCAAGAAGCGAGACAGACACAGCATGTCTCTTCCCACTCGGTATTTGGTGCCCCTGACCGAGCATTCATGCGCAACTCATCCCCCCAACCCGGACCATCCGTACAAGTGCGGCCACACGACGACACTGTGCAGGCTGCTGCCCGGGACTCCAGCAATCTCAGAACTGGCCGGGGGGGTTGGGGGGGTGGCAGGTCTCCATGCAAGCTGGACTTAGCGGAGTCCCTGTTTTCTCTACAGTATGGCTACGTTCCCATGCACAGGTGTGTGTTTCCAGAAGAGTCAACGGACACAGCAAACAAGTGCCACAGTACCTTAAAGACACTCTTAAACACATGTTTTAGAAACAGGATTTACTGCCCTGGCTCTTTCCCCCAGTAACCAGTTTACATGTCCCAGCAATCCCACCGCACAGGCGGTTCTGGCAAGCCAGGTCTGGTACGTGCCAAACCCAATGCACTGTCCGCACCTCCACATCTTTTTCCGTTCCTCAGCTTCCCAGTCCTGTAAAAGGGCTTCCCCGTTGTCTCATACAGAGCTGCCCTGACAAAGCATGTGGCTCCAGCCTTGTCAGTTCTGTCTGCATAGCGTCTATGACAGCACAGGAGACCTAAACATCATGGAGGGAAGCTCGTTACAAGTGCAGCTGCCCAGCCCTCACACCTAGAAAATTCCGGCTCGGTCAGGCCCGGGGAAAAGCCAGGAGCCAGCACTCTGAGCAGCTTCCCGTCCTCTCCCATCTCTGCGGCGGCCCGGCCGTTCTTCTTAAAGCCGTTAGCACCTCCTGTCACTGACCTCCTAGCTTATTCACCTTCCCCTTTCTCCCCCAGTACCTGCTCCCAACCTCATCTTTCCTGGGTATGGCTCTGATCGGGATGCTCGCACAAAAAAAATGTTCCAAGCATTCCCGTGCAGATATAACACTCCAGCCCAGGGGTCAAGCCCCTGCAGGGCCCAGGCCCACCCCACACACGCATTACTATGAAACAGGTACAGAAATGATTGCCAACCTTACTTTCCTTTTACCACATTTCACCATCACAATCTGCCTGAAATGTACTACAAAGACGTGTAAAAGAGAACAGCCATTTATCTGAGGAGCTCTACGTGGCCTGTAACAGCTCTTCAGTAACGGTGCATGCTTCCAAACACCCTGAAGCTTCCTCCTGCACGTGAAGTCTTGCCCCACCACTCTTTTAGGTTATTTTTTTAAAAAGCCATTCAAGGGGCACCTGGGTGGCTCAGTTGGTTAAGCATCCAACTTCGGCTCAGGTCACGATCTCACGGTTCATGGGTTCAAGCCCCGCGTCACGCTCTGTGCTGACAGCTCAGAGCCTGGAGCCTGCTTCAGATTCTGTATCTCCCTCTCTCTCTCTGATCCTCCCCTGCTCCTGCTTCCTCTCTCTCAGAAATAAATAAAACATTAAAAAAATTAAAAAACCATTCAATACATATCTAATGTTACTAAGTATATGCCCACAAAAATTTACATATATACGTGCCACACATCAAGGGAAAAGGGCTTTACATTTTTCAGATCTATAATACTCACCATAGGAGCATAAATAATCAAAGTTATGAATCAGGCCAGCGTCCTGAAAGAACAAACAGAGGCGTGCTTTAACTCTGTCCTACAACGCCGAAACGTCTTTGTAATGCTGTGCTTTAGAGCCACACACTGTAAAGTCTTGTTTTCAACACTAAGCCCATCAAGGAGTTACTACAAACAGAAGATCATAGTATGCCTAAGCCTTTTTCGGCAGAGTTATCTATCTCTGAGAATAAATGGTGCTGGGACAGCTAGATACCCACATGCCAGAGAATAAATCCGGACCCCTCAGCTCATGCCATACACCAAAATTAGCTACAAATGGCTCAGGGACCAAAAGTAAGAGCTAAAACTATACAACTCTTAGAAGAAAATATAGGAGTAAATCTCCATGGCCTTGGGTTAGGCAAAGCCTTCTTCTTAGGTATAACACCAAAAGCAAAAGTGACCCCTCCCCCTAAAATAATAATAAATGAATAAATAAATTGGACTAAATTGAGATTAAAAACTTTTGTCCTTTAAAGGATACCATGAAAGAAGAGAAAAGACAAGATAACCTACAGAATAGAAGAAAATATTTGTAAATCATCTATCTGTTAAGTGATTTGGAACTAGAATATATATAAAAAAAAAACTATAACAACTTAAAAATACAAAGTCAAACAACCCAGTTAAAAAATGAGCAAAGGATCTGAAAAGACGTTTCTCTAAAGGTGAGCCCATAAGCACATGAAAAGATGGGGTTTTTTTGTTTATTATTTTTTAACTTTTTTAATGTTTAGTTATTTTTGAGAGAGAGAGAGACAGACAGACAGACAGAACACAAGTGGGAGAAAGGCAGAGAGAGGGAGACACAGAATCCGAAGTAGGATCCCGGCCCTGAGCTGTGAGCACAGAGCCTGACATGGGGCTCGAACTCAGGGACCATGAGATCATGACCTGAGCCAAGAAGTCAGACATTTACCGACTGAGCCACCCAGGTGCCCCAAGATGTTTAACATCATTAGTCACCAGGGAAATGAAATCAAAACCACAATGAAATGCCACTTCAGACCCACTTGGACTGATAGAATAAAAAAGATAATAACAAGTGTTCGTGAGGATGTAAAGAAATTAGAACTTTTATACAACGCTTGTGAGAATGGAAAATGGTAGAGCCACTTGGAAAACATTCTTGCAGTTTTTTAAAAGTTTAACAAGGATTACCCTATTACCCAGAAATTCTACTACTGCTGTATACCCAAGAGAAATGACAACATCTGTTCACACTGAAACTTATACACAGATGTTCAAAGCAACAACATTTGTAAGGGGCAAGAAGTGGAAACAACTCAAATGCCCAGTAAGTGATGGGATAAAGAAAATGTGGCATATCCATACAATGGAATATTATTTGACACTAATAGAGAGGAATGAAGTGCTATGTATGCTACCACTTGGAGAAACCCGGAAGCATTATGCTAAGTGAAAGAAGGCACTCACAAAAGATCTCAAAGGACTTTTTAGAGGAAATATCTAGAATAAGCAAATCGCTTAGAGATGGAAAGTTCATTAGCAGTGCCTGGGGCAAGGGGTTGGGGAGAAATGAGGAGTAAATTCCAATGGGCATAAGGTTCCTTTTTGGGGCAATGAAAAGCAGTCTAACCTTGACTGTAGTGATGGCTCTATGACTCCATAAAACTGTACACTTTATTTATTTATTTATTTTTTATTTATTTCAAGGAGGGAGAGAGAGAGACAGCGTGAGCAGGGGAGGGTCAGAGAGAGAGGGAGTCACAGACTGAAACAGGCTCCAGGCTCTGAGCTGGCAGTCAACACAGAGCCCGACGCGGGGCTCGAACCCACGAACCGCGAGATCATGACCTAAGCGAAAGTCGGACGCTTAACCGACTAAGCCACCCAGGCGCCCCAAAACTGTACACTTTAAATGAGTGAACTGGATAATGTGTGAATTACATTTCAATAAAACTATTATATTAACGACAACAACAACAAAAGAGGGAATGAAACTGTAATCTTAAAAGCATCTGAACTGTCCTGCCAGAAAACAGGAAACATCTTTGATGTCTCATTGTACCTCCAAAATTATGTGAAATTTGTACTCCATAATACAGACCTGCAGTGTTATTGTTTTTTTTTTTTTAATTTTAATGTTTATATTTGAGAGAGAGACAGAGAGTGATCAGGGGAGGGGCAGAGAGAAAGAGAGAGGGAGACACAGAATCCGAAGCAGGCTGCAGGCTCCGAGCTGTCAGCACAGAGCCGGACGCGGGGCTCGAACTCACAAACCATGAGATCATGACCTGAGCCAAAATCGGACACCCAACAGACTGAGCCACCCAGGTGCCCCAGACCTGCGGTATTTTAACATGAAAATGTTTGGGGCGCCTGGGTGGCTCAGTCGGTTGAGTGTCCGACTTCAGCTCAGATCATGATCTCACGGTTCATGGGTTCGAGCCCCGCTTCAAGCTCTGTGCTGACAGCTAGCTCAGAGCCTGAAGCCTGCTTCAGATTCTGCATCTCCCTCTCTCTCTGACTCTCCCCTGCTCACGCTGTCTCTATCTCTCTCTCAGAAATAAACATTAAAAAAATTTTTAAAAACATGAAAATGTTTTATACCACCTTCCAAATGCAAAACAACAGCAAAACGAAAACCTGTGTCGGACCCTCTATCTAAAAATATAAATCAAAATCTTTCTTCTCCAATTCTTGAATGAAAATGATGCTCAAGGTACACATGCTATTTATCCTGGGGCTCAGGACTGTGTTCACAGACTGTTTGGATCCTTGTCCCCAGGCTTAGAAGCAGGGAGTAGAAAGATTGTAGGTGCTGAAATCAAAAAGATCCCAGAGCTCGAGCTCACATTTAGTAGATGGGCAAGTGTAGGCAGACTTAACTTCTCTCAGATTTAGTTTCAGTGTTTGTGAAATGAGGATGCATTCAGTGTACAGGACAGGCTTTCAAATTTAGTTTCCCTTTATCCATCCCAGTTACAAAGCTGTTACGGTAGGAGAAAGTCTGTAGTATGAAGGGCAGAATTATTGTGCAACTGTAAAATAACTGGAAACAATTTAGTCAGACCCCTTCTTTTTCAATATAATGGAGCTGAAGTCCAGTGACTGGCCAAGCTCAGAAAGCAATTTAGTAGCTTTATTATGCACTTACTAATTCATGCCCTCAACCAGTTTACAAGTCTAGTAACAGCAAGTTGACAAAACTAGTAATAAACTCCAAACGATTACCAAAGCTTTTCATGCCACAGTATCTTTCATTAACAGCATCCATATCGACGCATACTGCATTCTGTTTCATTCTAACACAGGGTATCAATCTAATATCAACAAAATACCAGTGACAAGGTCTCAAGTAATTTTCAAGAACTCAAGATCACTAGGTGTTATATATTACTAAACTTTGAGGAAAATTCTGAAATTTTTCAAACCATAAAAATAGCAGAGAGAAGAAACAAAGCAGACTCAACTGCACTATACTCCCACTCCCAAGAGCAATCAGAAGTAGTAAGTAGCTGTCAGTTCAGGGGACAGACCACGCTCAATGTCATCTAGGGTGATTTTTTACCTGGGTGGAATGTATGTCAGGCAATTCCTACTGGCATTCTTAGCCCGTGGCAAGTTGGGAGTGGAGAGTGTAACAGTTACAAGAAACGGTGAAAGACTTTCATCACCATTAGCTTGTCATCTGCTCTGTAATATAACAGCCCTATTCTAAAGACTTTACAAATATGTATAATTAAGCTTTTATACAGCTTTAAAATAAAATAGCATTATTGTCTATGAACCGGGGGAACTTTGATGATTTCCTCTAGATTATTATTATTTTCTCAGTGTTCTAAAGAAAAAACACAAATACTCTCTAGAAGATTTTATCAGTCTTAAAAATTCTAGGATTCTAAGTTATTCTCCAATGTTCAAGCCCACACAAAATTTTCAGGTATCTTCAAAACAGTTACTTCTTGTGTTTCTTGTGTTCTCATCAAGATTTCTCCCAAATTATATTTTGTAGCTATACTAAAATACTTAAAATACCTCCTCCTTGGGGCACCTGGGTGGCTCAGTTGGTTAAGCATCTGACTTCGGCTCAGGTCATGATCTCAAGGTTTGTGGGTTCGTGCTCCACGTCGGGCTCTGTACTGACAGCTAGCTCTGAGCCTGGAGCCTATTTCAGATTCTGTGTCTCCCTCTTTCTCCGACCTTCCCCTGCTCACATTCTCTCTCTCTCTCTCTCAGAAATAAATAAAACATTTTTTTAAAAATGTACCAAAAAACCCACATCTCCTCCTTGCTTTCAAATGAGTTTAATTGCATCAAAAGAGCCTGGAACAACTTCAGGGGGGAGGGAAGGAAGAAAGGAAAGAAAACCATAATATCAAAACGGAACAGCTCACTTCCTATAACACTGGGCGGGTGTGCAGGCTTAGGTCCAGCAGATCACCTGGTGAGTATGCAAAAGCATTCTGGGGTCAGGGCTGGTGTAAACCTGAATCTGTCTCTCACTAGCTGTTCAATGTTGAACGTCTCTTCACTTCTCTGAGCCGGAATTTCCTCGTCTGCATATTGGGACGCTATTATCTCATAGGGTTGCTGTACCGAGAAAAGGAAGCATTGTTTCGAGAGTGCTTAACAGGGCGTCCAGCCTATAAAAAGCACGTAAATATTACCTTTGCTGCCTGGTTTTCTAGGAAATGAGTTCTTAAATTTGACTATACAATGACCATGAACTGTGATCTAATATTTAAACAGATGCAAACGCCCGCCCCGCCCCCCGCCTCCCCTCACTGTCAGCGCGGCCCACCTTCGCCGCGGTCAGCCCACTGCCCTCCCCGCCCTTGACACCACAGCCTCACCCCCCACCCCCAATGCCAAAGCACCTGCCAACTGCTCGTTCCGCCTCCCCCACGCCCTCTGCCTCGCCGCGCCCAGCTCTGTCCCTGCGCCTCCGGGTCCCTTCGGAGACGTCCCCGCCAGCTCCCCTGGGGCTGGGAGATGGGGGAGGGGGGGTTCCCATCACCTCTAGTGTCAAATCCCCTGGCGACTGAGGACGTGGTGGCATTTCCCTACGGAAGGCCGGGCGCGCTAGGCTCACACTCACCCGCTGCCTGCACGCGGAACTCAGCACTGGCGGAACCCGGCGCTCGTGGGTCCTCGGGGCCAAGGGAGACCCGAAGGGACACCCGAAGGGACACCCGCGAGACACTTCTTAAGGCGCCTGCGCAATGGCGACCGCTCCAGCCGCGGTTGTTAACAGCCCCAACCTCCCAGAGAACCGCTTTGCTGGGGCCGCTACCGACTGTGCGCAGCCGCCCGGCGCGCGACAGCGGAACCTGCTGCCAACCAGCTGGAACCCGACAGGCGGCGGGGGCTGAGACGTTTCCCCTGATTGGTTGCCGGAGCCGCGCTAAATGTAACTCCCTTTGCGATTGGTTAGAATAAGATTACCCCCCCCCCCCAACCGAAGAGTTCGGCTTCGGTGGGTTAGCATTGGACCTCGAAGAGGTTCATGCCTATCATCCACCACGCCCCTGTCATATCATCCTGGGGCTGCGTGGCCTTCAGGGGAGCTGAAACCCAGCGAGTCCAGGAAAGGGCCCTGGCTATTGCTAAGCCCAGTTCGCCCCTAGTTAATGTGCACCTGGTTGCTTCGGTGTCCGCAGGAAAAACGACTTTGGCTGCACCAGGGCCCAGCACAAGGCTAAAGCAGCTTCAGCCAGTTCCAATGAATTGGAATAAATACGATGTGATTGTACCCAAAGTACCCGTTTTACTGGAAGAGTGAGCGCCTTTGCACGCGACGTTGGGTACTGGGCAGTTTACAAGTTAGGTTACAAGAAACACAGAAACACAATTCTTGTGGCAGGGAGCCAGCTGTGAAATGCGCACCTCTTTCGACAGATACATATGGGACTGTGCTCCTGCCTTTAATTGGAAGCTTTGTCAAACCGAAGAACGCAACTTTAAACTTACTACCAGAAAGAGAGAATACCAACGAGAAGTAGATTTTTTTGTTAACACTTGGGTCACCCTGGTATTCTCAGTAAAGAGTGGGCAGTATCTTTTCTCTCTTTGTATTTGCAGTGCCAAATACAGAACCTGGAGTAGAAAAGGTACTCAACTCAACGTTTATTGAATTTAATGGAACTTTTGATTCATTTGGTTCATGCCTTCTCTCACTTTAAAATACAAGCTCCGAGGGTAGTGTCTTTCATATTCAATATTGTAGCTCCAGTGGGTGCTTTCAAACATCCCATTAAATGAATTAAGAATGTGAATCATATGTTAATATTTTCAGGCATTGAGGATTTCCTGGGTGTAAACCCAGTACCTGGACTAGTAACCTGCAATAGTGGACCTTAGAAACTCAGGTCTAAGTTTTGCACCATGAGTCTGAACTTTAGAGTATAGCCATTACCAAACCCCCAGAGTCTGCAAGTAGCTTCAAGAGATAATTTGGGGCCGGCTGGATTCTAGTGATTATCAGTTTGTACTTCCACAAGTTCATTTCTGTTGCAGACCTCAAGGCTGGCCTGTGCGTTGGTGTATCAGGCTTCTTAGATGCGTGGGTTGTCAGAACTGGCATAGCAGAGGCCATGTAATTCAGTCCCGAGAATCTGCCAGACCCGAATTTGAATACTCACTCTGCCACTCAGCAGCTCAGCAATCTTGGGCCAGGGTCTCAACCTATTTGCGCCTCCATTTCTTCCTCTGTAAAAGCAGTCCTCTTACAGCACCAAGCTCTTTGGGTTACTGTCAAATAAATGAGATAAAGCAAGTAAAGTACTCAGCACAGTACTGGCACGTGGTAAGTGTTAGCGATTATCATTACTATGAGCAAAAACACATTCCCCACCCTGAACAATGGTCAGTAAAAGTCTGAGTTCTGGGGAAATTTATGTAATGTCCAATGTAGTGGAAATAACTTTTCTGGCATTGGAGCACATGATTGTGCATATTCTGTTTGTTCTTTCACGAAGTGCATGACTGCTTAAAGACAAAATCGACTGCTACAAAGGTCAAATGTGTAGGAGAGACAGCAGCTGGATGGGCATTGGTGGGGGGTGGGGGGAGAAGAGCTCCCTTCATCCATGGCCACTGCCCACATGGCGGGGTCAGAACAGGGAGTCCTATGCAGTCTGGTTTCCTTCTTACAGACAACGTGCTTGAGAACAAGGGGGACAAAATGATTCATAAGGATCTTCTGGCACCAAGCTTCTATTAATCCTTCAAATATTTACTATTTCAACCACAACTGTAAACGTGTTTCAGATGGGCATAACTAATAAGGATATTTATAAACTCGTGAAACAAGAAGTCCAGAGGCAGGGTAGGCTTCGGGACTGGTTAAATAAGCAACTCAGCAATATCACCATGTGCTAGATTCTAACTCTCCACTGGGCTATTAACAGACTCAGCGTTCGGTTCCTCCAGGAATAAATACAACAGAAGCAACAGGAACCATATAATTCATTTTTCACCTCCACTGGGCAACAGGAGTGATTTCTAGGGTTTGTTTTCCCGTGTCTCAGAAGCCTCCAGCAACCATCTCCTTCAGTTATGTTAACTAGAATTATGTCATATGTCCAAATCTAAGCCAGCAAAGAATGTGGAATTACTAAAGTATCAATTCAGTCCAAACCTTGAGCTGAGATCTTTCCCAAACCAAACTTCTTTTCTCAAATGAGAGGGAGGTAGAATAAGTGCAGAAACTCCACCCAGGAGCACACTATAGATTTGTCGGAGGGATTTAATGATAATAAACCAAAACATAACACCATCATAAAGTTTTCATTTCCAAAGTGATTTTCAGATATATATATATATACATATATATATATAGTTTTATTTTGCTGGCAAAATAATAACATTCGTTTATAATACTCTTTCAGTTCAGCTCTTGAAAAAGGAATTTTTTTAAGTTTATTTATTTGTTTTGAGAGAGAGAAAGAGAGTGTGTTCCCAAGCATGTGGTCGGGGGAGGGGCAGAGAGAGATCCCAAGCAGGCTCAGTGCAGCTTAGAGACAGGGAAGGGGCTTGAACTCACTAAACTCAAGATGGCAACCCAACCAGAGATCAAGAGTCCGACGCTCAACCAAGTGAGCCGCTCAGGTGCCCTTGAAAAAGGAATTTTATATAAATCTTAAGATATGGAGAAAGTTTAAACCCGTTTTAGGTTAGAGATTGAAACGTGCCAGGAGCAATAAACTAAACTCATCATTTACAAACGAATGTTGAGCCTCAAAGAGAATTGACTTGGCTAAATTCACAAACACTAATTACAATTGGAGTCTTTGCCTCCACAGCCAATGTCAGGTTTGGGAACAGTCTGTTAGAGGCAGTTTCTCCCTTATTCTCCCCATTTGCTAGACTCAAGATTTAGCATTAGCATACAATACTTAAAAATTTTTAATCCTGTTTTCTAGATCAGAGACATAGCTCTTTATGCAGCTATTTCTTTTTAAACTCCTAACTGGGATGCATAATTCATTGCTGGCAGGAATGGGTCAGAAGTTAGAAGTCACAGAAAAAAAGTTTCACAGGAAAAGCCACACCCCGCCCAAAGGAAAACAATTCCTGTCCACTGCTCAGTCTGATTAAGCAACAAAACTGAAACTAGTGAATCGAATCTGAAATCACTTAGGAAGGTATTCTAAGTTTCACTTTTTAGTATATATTAGATGTTGATGTAAGCACAATGCCTGCTTTGTCTTTAATATAGGGAGTGGAAAGGACGGGGAGAGTCACAGTGCTTCAGTGATTTTGAAAGTTTGTGTCACTAAAACTCCACCCACCCCATTTTCTGAAAGGTGGCTTTTTTAATAACCTCAATCAAGTAAGATGGTAAATATTCTTAAATGCTCCTGTTAACAGTGAATCTGTATTATCCATCATGAACTATTCGATGTTTGACATTCTTCACTCTAAAGGCATTTTTTCAAAGTATTTAATAAAGTTGTACCACGATAAATTCTTTTGAGACTTGCCTAGGTAGAAAGAAACGACCTCAGTTTTTTAAAAGATACTCAAATAAGTAAAGTTCAGTCCCAGCCTTCAAGGCATCTCTCATCTAGAAGGGAGAACGGTGAAGACATCTCTCTGTTGCTTTTGCCTATATGACATTTATGTCCTCTTCTTCTGGCGGCTCCTCCAGGAAACCACTTTGTTTTCACAGTTGGTCTATGGGAGTCATTTGGGGCTGAGCACATCTCCCCTCTTTCCAGCACGGAGGCCTGGGGTGACCAACTATCCCCATTTGCCCAAAACTGAAGGTGTCTGGGGCTCCGGACTTTTAGTGCTGAAACCAGAAAAGTCCCAGGCAACTTGGGATGAGTTGGTCACTCTCACTCTGCCCCAAGCCTGGCCTATTAGAGCCAATCGCACTCCCTCGACTGCAGGACTTGGTTCAGTGATGGGGACCTGCCCTTGCCCCAAAGCAAAAAGACTCAGTCTTGAAACTTTTGTTGAAACTGTTGAGAGTCCGTCTTTCAGCAGCTGCTGCTAAATAGGTAGACTATAAGCCTGTTGCAGCTGCTGGTGACCTCTGTTGTCACCGTAAATGGAAAGTCAACCTGGGAATAAAGCCAAGGTAGAGAAAGCAGAGCCGAGAGATGGAGCCTGATACCAATAAACTTGAATCCAAGTTTACCTGCAGCTCCTTCGCTGGGCTTTTCCATTCACACGATTCAGTAAGTTCTCCCTTTGTTTAAGCTAACTTTAATTAGGTTTCTATCACTTATCTAAAAAGGGGATAAGAAAAGCAAATACTTGCTTACATTCCTGTTGAGCAAAGTAAATGCTGTCAGCGAAGCCCAAAAGAGGAAGAGGTTAAATCATGCAGAAGTTCCATTCAGCTGTAAGAGTCCAAAAATGGATGGAGGATGAGCTGGGATGTGATTGGTTCTCACGGACTAGATGGTGGAGTAGCTCCCTGTAGCTGCTTTAACAGATTACTACAAATGTTTTATCTTACAGTTGTGGCAGTCAGAAGTCTAGAATAGGTTGGCAGGGCTGTGATCCTTCTGGAAACTCTCAAGGAGACTCTTTTTCGTTGCCTTTTCCAGCTTCTCAAGGCCAAGTGCATTCCTTGACTCTTGGCCCCATTCTCTACCTTTAGAGGCAACAGTGTAGCCTTTTCTAATCTTTCTGATCTTTTGTCCTTTCTTTTCCTTATAAAGAACCTTCTGATTACCATTAATTTGGGCCCACCCAGGTAACCCAGGACCATGTCTTCCCATCTCAAGATCCTTATCTTATCACACCTGCAAGGTTCCTTTTACTAGGCAGGTAACAAAGTCACTTATTCAGGGGGTGAGGATGTTG